AGAAGTTCGTTGTTATAGCGTTTGTTATAGCGCGACTGTTGAAATTAAGTGTATCGCAAATTTATATTCAGAAACCAGTTTTATTTAAGAAAGGACTTGTGTCGCTAAAGTTTCGTCGGAACGAATTTACGGAAAATTAACTAACGAACAGAGACGTAACAATATGTTTGTTGGATGAAGTTTTCACTTTTTTTGGCCACATCAGGCATGATGAGTTGATCATAGTTTGAGATGTAGTGATGTAGCTAATTGATTGTTCAGCTTAGGTTGTAGATTACAATTTATGAGTGCTTCCTTTTTTATTAGTGTCCATTCATCTTTCGCTGAGTCTATTATTCTTAAGTGTTCCCTGTTCGGTTTTTCATAACAGTGTTTTCTTAGGTGGTTGTAAGCTCCAGAGTTATTGAAAGGGCTGTTATGAGCATGTTCCTTGATTTTGTTAGCTAAGGTCGAGTCGTTGACCCAATACAGACTTGCCTACAGCAGGGACACAAATATTTGCATGCTACCAGTGATTTTTTTAATTTTGTCTTTTAACAGGAAGATATTGCGTATCTGTTCGTTCAGTTAGAAGATTACTCTTAGGCTGACTTGAGGATAAGTTTACTGCAGAATGCTTTTGATTTTATATTTTAGTTTGATGCCGTGGGAACCAGTGAAGGGTAACACCAAGGTGATGGGACGTTTAGGAATGTTGCGGTCAGGAATTTTGGGGTTGTAAACCTTATTGATATATTCAAAAATACTTTTGTTGATTAGTACCATAGGGAAGGCATTTTTAATCAAATATTGATAAGTTCGTTATGCAAATAACTATAAGCACTGGTCAGTTTATATGTTCAATGAACTAAAGTATTTATTAACTTAGTTTTGTAACAGTCAGGTATAAATGTGCTGAAATGACAGTACAGGTCAGAAAATGTTGGTTTGTGGTAGTACTTAGTTTCGAGCCTGTTGTTCCAGTTGATGACTTCTATATCTAAAAAGGCAACTTAGATTCTTTTTGCTCTTCAGCTGTGAACTCGATATTCCCGTGCTTTGAATTTAAATGATATTGAAATTTTTTGACATAGTTTGGCTTTCTGAATACAATAAAAGTGTCATCAACGTATTTCCTATAAACTAAAGGCTTAAATCGTGATGGGCATGACTGTAACCAATTGGTTTCATGATGAGACAAGAACAAATTAGGTAGTGTAGGAGCAAGTGGTGAGCCTATGACTACAATGTCAATTTGATCATATGTCTTATTATTGAAAACAATATGAGATTTTTTGGTCATAATTTCAAGTAGTTTCATAAATTGATTTATATTTAAGCCATTGACTTTAGTGTTAGCAGAAAATAAACACTACTTAATTTGATTACTTCATCAAGCAGAATGTTAGTGTATAATGACTTAATATCAAAACTTGTGATCAAATTCCATGGATTTGATGAAATTAGAAAAATCAAAGGAGTCTTTAATGGTAAAGTTATTCTTTGTTAACGGAAGTAACAATTTGCTTGAAAAACAGCTAGTTTATAACTGTGTGTTCATATGTTAGATACAATGGGTCTGATCGGTACATCTTTATGTAGTTTATACAGACCATACAGAATGCCACTGTGTGATCCACCAGGTCTAATCTGGTTGTATACTTGATCAGAAATGGCATTCTCTTTTTTTAGTTTTGATAGGAGTCTTTGAAGTTTATTTTCTCTCTGTTGGGTGGGATATTTATCTAAAACTTGCTGGAGTCATTTTAGATGTCACAGACTTTATTAATGTAGTCTTGTGTGTTGAGAATGACAACACCATTTCCTCCGTCCGGATTTAAGAGCACTACATTATTTAAACATTTTAGATTATTCAAGGCAGCTGTTTCATCGTGGATAGGGTACTGTTACGTCTCTGGTCGTTAGTTAACTTCCCGTATAATTTCTTTCCGATGAAACTTTAGCGACACAAGTCTTTTCTTAAATAAAACTAGTTTATTCTTTCTCAGTACAACTTTGAAATTCACTTAATTTCAACGGTCACACTATAAGTTAAACAAACGCTATAATTCACAACGAACGTCACACGCGCTCGACCCAACAATACGTCTCTCTCTGTCCGCAGTTCAATTACATTCCATTATTGCCGTTAGTTCTTGCCAGTCTTATATATACAAGAATACCGCATATCTAGTAACCTCTCGAGAGTTCAGGAAGGGACGTGAACTAAATCAGTTTGTGATTTCATTATGCTACCAAGATCATTAAATCAGTTTTTGATTTCATAATGCTACCAAGATCACAAATCAGTTTTTGATTTCAGATTGCGTCCATGATCACTAAATCAGTTTTTGATTTCAGATTGATTCCAAGATCACTAAATCAGTTTGTGATTTCATTATGCTAACAAGATCACGAAATCAGTTTGTTATTCCAAAATTCTACAAAGATCACTAAATTTGTTTGTGATTTCATAATGCTACCAAGATGACTAAATCAGTTTGTTATTCCAAAATTCTACAAAGATCACTAAATTTGTTTGTGATTTCATAATGCTACCAAGATGACTAAATCAGTTTGTGATTTCAGAATACTACAAAGATCACTAAATCATTTTTTGATTTCATTATGCTACAAAGATCAGTAAATCAGTTTGTGATTTCAGATTGCTACCAAGATTTCTAAATCAGTTTGTGATTTCAGAATGCTACCAACATCACTAAATCAGTTTGTGATATCAGATTGTTACCAACATCACTAAATCAGTTTTTGATATCAGATTATTACCAAGATCACTATATGAATTTGTGATTTCAGAATGCTACCAAGATCACGAAATTAGTTTGTGATTTCAGAATGCTACCAAGATCACGAAATTAGTTTGTGATTTCAGAATACTACCTCATCCTGTAACAACTGCACCAGTTGATCATGTGAGGCCACGACCTCAACCCATTGCTGGCATTCCTCTCCCAGACCTTGAGAGAGGTGGACAACAATCCTGCTCTCTCTCTGGTATTAACTTGGTGAGTTTAGAAATGTATTTAAACTTTATTTTCTTATCACATTAGAATCTGCTTCTTGCTACTCAGAATCAAAATATAATGTTAATTATATATGCCTATAATAGAAAATGATTTATCTTCTCGTGTATAATCTCTGTTTAAAACCCATAACAAGAAAATGGCCTTTCTTCTCATGTATTATCTCTGGTTCAAAACCCATAACAAGAAAATGGTCTTTCTTCTCGTGTATTATCTCTGTCTAAAACCTTTAACAAGAAAAAGGTTTTCTTCTCGTGTAGTATCTCTGTATAATAACCCATAACAAGAAAATGGTCTTTCTTCTCGTGTATTATCTCTGTTTAAAACCCATAACAAGAAAATGGTCTATCTTCTCGTGTATAATTTCTGTTTAAAACCCATAAGAAGAAAATGGTCTATCTTCTCATGTATATTATCTCTCTTTAAAACCCCTTTATTTGAAGATTTTATTGGGCTTTTGAGTAGATGGTTTATGAAAATTCAATTAAATTTTTAAGTTGATTCTGAACTGATTTTACCATGCACAGTCATCAGATTTAAAAAAGTAAAATATACCTGAAACATACTTGAATAAATAAAATTTTTTGTGATAGTATTGTGATTTTGGGGATGACATATAACATCATGTTACTTAAACTTTTCCAAGTTATAGCTATCTTCTAATAGTGTAAAACATCATGTTACTTAAACACTTCCAAGTTTTAGTTATGTTCTAACAGTGTTAAACATCATGTTATTTAAACACTTCCAAGTTATAACTATGTTCTAACAGTGTTAAATATCATGTTACTTAAACGTTTCCAAGTTATAACTATGTTCTAACAGTGTTAAACATCATGTTACTTAAACATTTCCAAGTTATAACTATGTTCTAACAGTGTTAAGTGCTGATTTTGTATCACATAACTTGTTGTATCTAGTTTTTTCTTCTACTTATTTAGTCCAATGAAAAGCTGTTCCTACATTAAAATTAATGACTATAATATTGTTGCGTATTTGCTTGTTTGTTAATTTCCGGTAGAAATTCTTTTCGAGGAACTTCAGTGATACAAGTCCTCTCTTGATTAAACAAATTTATTCTTTCTCGATACAAACTTCAGTACACAGTAATTTCACAATCAGGTCGTTTCTCGTCACTTTAAACTTAACAACTTTTATAATACATACTATAAACCACAGCGATTCACAATCTCGATAACTTCGCCCGAAACTTACCGTGACTACTGTTCGCTTTATCATACATTCATTTTCTCAGGCTTTCTCTGCCAGGCTTATATACTAAAAAGAGGGCGTCTCGAACTAACTAGGGCTTACTCGATAATTCATGATCATTCGAGAAATTCACCACGTGTTACCAGTGTCACGTGACTTCCGCTGTCGTAACAATACGATAATTCATGGAAAGCTGTTCCTACTTTTCAATTAATGACTATAATATGATAAGTTATGGAAAGCTGTTCCTACATTAAAATTAATGACTATAGTATGATAAATTATGGAAAGCTGTTCCACTTTATAATTAATGACTATAATATGATAAATTTTCACACATTTTCTCTGCTAGTCTCGAGCCCCACCCGTACCACCAAGTCGTCCTTATACTGTTGCAGGAAATACAAAACTTGGTTATCCTCAAACAAGAGTAATGAAGATGAACTTTCCTGGTGAGTGAACACAAAGTTTCTTTATAATAAGGGTATGAACATGAATTATTTACTCTAAGTGTCAACATATTTTATTTTGATTATTAAATACTGGTTCATAGAAACCAATATGTATTACAAACTTGATCAATAGCAAGGATATCAATTAACACTTTGGAATCTTAATTTTTACTTAGTTAAGTTTGTGATAGTCTTTTTATATGAAAATGCAATTGTTTCTTGTATAGTCTTTATGTACAAATATAGTATTGTTTCTTGGATAGTATACACTATTGGTCCTTGTACAGTCTTTATATACACAAATAGTATTGTTTTTTTGGATAGTGTATACTATTGGTCCCTGTATAGTCTTTATGTACACATATAGTATTGTTTCTTGGATAGTTTACACTATTGGTCCTTGTATGGTGTTTATATACACAAATAGTATTGCTTTTTGGATAGTATATACTATTGGTCCCTGTATAGTCTTTATGTAGACATATAGTATTGTTCCTTGGATAGTATATATTATTACGTATCTGCTTGTTTGTTAATTTCTGGTATAAAGTCTTTCCGAGGAACTCCAGTGATACCAGTCCCTTCTTGATAAAACCATTTTATTCCTTCTCGATACACTCTTTTAATACACAGTAATTCCACGGTCAGTACGTTTTTCGTCACTTTCGATTTAACGACTTTTATAATACATGCTGTAAATCACAGCAATTCACAATATCGATAATTTCGCTTGCTAAGAGTGCAAAACACACATATTTTATATTTCCCGAAAAACCGTAACTACTGTTCGCTTAACTATACATTCATCATCGTCCGCTGGTTTTTCTCGCCAGGCTTATATACTAACAAAGAGGCTTCGACAAAATTTGAGGAGTTCCCTGATAATTCGAGAAACTCAGTCACGTATGCGAGAGCAGCATCACGTGACTTCTGCTGTCGTAACACTGCCCTTTCCTTAGTATTGTTCATCCCGAACAATATCCACTTACATTAAACCAATAGATAATTAACAATAACTTAATTAAATGTACAGAATTTACAAACACAAAATTAGAATGCAAAAAAGTCTCTTAATTTTACGGGAAATTTCTTCTTTCGTATTGGTCTCCATCTCATTGGCTTCTCCTTTACGTGGGATTCATCTGCTCCATCAGGAAATATCCCATTATTGGTAGCAGTCACATCAGTGGTAGTAACTTCATTAACGGCTTCACCGTTTCCCTTCTCACAACCGGGTAGATTTTCTTCTTCAACAATGGCTTTTTCAGGTGACACGTCTTCAGTAGCGTCACTTCTTCTGTTGTTCATTTCATTCCAACTGAAATGTCCTAGACCATGATAATGCCAAAGCCTGTTGGCATGCACTGCCTTTGGCTTACCTCACTGACCACATTTTATTCGGAAAGTCACGTCTGTCATATGGGCCTTCCCATGGAGAAAAGAACTTAGGAGACTTCCCTTTGGTCTCCCAAGGATTATACAACTACACCATGTCTCATGGTACAAAACTGACTTCAGTAGACTTCTTATCATAACATAGTTTCATGGAATCAGCAGAAATTTTTGAGTTTGAATGCACTTGATGATGAATATCGTCCATCCTTTCAGATAGCACTTTCACGAACTGTGGCACATTTTCAGACAACTCTTCGTAACGTGGGCGTCCTGTTATCAGTTCCACTGGCAACCGAACTTTCCGACCAAACATCAGCTTTGCTGGAGTGTAT